GAGTTCAAACGCTTCCGCCAGAACAGCTCCAGTTCCAGCGCTGAATAATTGGTGAATAGGCTATTGTTTCTGTCGCACATGCTTCAGGACTGGGTATCAAACGTCACATGTGGTGAAACTAGTATTACTAACCATGACATGATGGTTGGGCCTTGCCTCGAACGAGAGACGATCTGAACTCTTCTCAGCAGTGTGTTACGGTGCACGTTAATGCCTCGGCTGTTCCCGGTATTATTTTTACTGCTGACATGTACAGCGTGGGCAAGCGACAACTGCGCTGTACGATAAGAGCAAAACCAGGCACAGGTTGTACTGCATGCCGAGTGTCGTAACTTCTTAGGTAGGTTGCATTCTTTCCGAAAATCCATCTCCTCATCAGATCACAAAAGATCCCTGTATCTCGGCGCTCGAATCTCGATAACCATTTGCTTTTTCCCTCGAATACCAAGAGACATCATCTCATATTTATACCTGATACCAATAATTCGTCTCATACGATGAGCATCAAAACATGAGCATCAGACGTTGTTTAACCTTGTCGATTAAGCTTAAAATGTTTAAATGAGCACGGCTAAGGCGGAATTGCCAGACTTGGCACACCTTACGCTATGAGGCGATCGCTGTGGGGAGGAGGAGAGGCCGCCAGCGCCTCGTCGTACTGGAGGGCCAATACTTGGCCTGGACAGACACCGCTATGATCTCATGTTGCTTGGCTTGGCATCGGCTCATGATCAGAATTCACTTTGCGTGTGACGTTGCGTGGCTCTAACCTCAGAAAGCCCACTTGGACGCTTTTTTACTGCCGGGCGGCGGGTGAAAAATTTATACCGACTATGAAAGCTGGCTGATCCTCAAGCCTTTTCACTGTCTTGACCTTTGGTGTTTCTTCATTCCAACCAAACTTGAACACAACAACTACTCTTATTACATATTACTTGCATTGATCAACGTATCCGTTATGGGTGTCCGTATCGCTACGCAACAAGACATCCCCGCGTTGAAGGAGATCATCCTCAGCGGGCTGTCAAATGATTCTGTCTGGCTGTACTGCTACCCCTCAGCAGGCCGTTCAGAAGCCGCCTCAAATCATGTCGAGACGGTTCTAAAGAGGATCATCGACGACAACAGCAAAAATTGGCATTGCTACGTAGTCGATGCTCCCAAGACTCACGACCCCGTGTCCCTTGCGATTATCCAGTCGCTTCACCAGAACGAAGACGATGGAAAGGGCGTCACCGAACAGATCCAGCGAGGTAACCCACTTTTCTGCTCGTTTCAGTGATGAAAATTCGCTAACCTTAAATTTTACAGTGTTTGGACTGTCGGAAGACCCCAGCAACGGCGAGAGCAAGACGGCTAAGAGAATTGCCGCACTGCAATCAGGCATCACGCAGACTCAGCAGACGTACCTCGCCCGCTACGACCAAGTTATGTTCCTCCATGCCGTCATCACGCATCCCCACCACAAGCGCCAAGGGTACGCCAAGACGCTCTCCAAGCAAACCCTGCAGGTAGCGCGTCAGAAGGGCGCCGTCGTTGCAGCCCTCGCCAGCCCCTTCAGCGGCTACGTCTTCTACTCGGGCACCAGCTTCTCCAACTGCGGCCGCACAAAGGTCGAGACCGACAACGACATCGAGAACCTCGAGCTGCAGATCATGGTGTGCACCCCGCCCAAGCCCCTCGAGCAGAGGAGGAGCTCCATCATGGACTTTTGGGGAGGGGCTAAGAAGGCCTCGCCCGCCGGGAGCAGACGTGAGTCGCTGGACCAGGGTCAGGGTGCCACTGGCGAGAGGCGGAGCTCGTTCTTGGATATGTTTAGCTTTGGTGGCCCCAAGACTCCCTCTGCTGTTGATGATGATACCCGCCGAAAGTCTCACGCCTAGATGAGGGACAGCAAGATTTTTGTTTGAAGTTTATTATATGGATCGCCATAGAACAGGTCTTTTCTTATGTACTTACCAACGAGCCATGATCTCAATACGATTACAGTCCCAAATCCACAATCAGTGTCAGCAAAAATACAGTGGTGGACCGTGCGTGACTGTAATGATTTTCAGGGCTCAATCATGCATTTTGCGTATGCATGACAGCGCATAATCAGCAACTTTTCGCCAATCGCCGTCAAGGCTTACGCAGCTTCAAAAAATTTACCAACTGCTGTCGCTCTCCAGAGGCTGGCATTGTTGTACGGTCTCTGATAATTAGATAGTTGGGCTATTCACATTTCGTAGTAAAAGGCGGCTTCTTGTTGGGCCTGCTCATTATCGCGTGCGACTCGAGAATTATGTTGACTAAAAAGGTCAGATGAATGAAACAATAGTGATGGAGGAAGGAATAAACGGAGATGTTGATGAAGAAAAGAAACAATGCTCTGACATGTCACCAAGATATGACTGCTCGATCAGATAAATTTCAGCCAGATCAGTGCCGTCAACGATCAGCCTTAGGCGACATCACAATAAGTATCTGAGGGAAGAGTTGAGGGAAAGGGGCGGAGGTAGTGGCAAGGAAGAACCCTTGGATGATAAAGACAGCTGTGCAGGCATAACACCCGCAACTGTTATTGAAGAGTAGACAGAAGCGTAGAGCGGGATATTGGAAGAAAGGAAAATGCTCAACTTCCCTTGCACTTGATGTCAGTCATCCCACGAATGTAGTGTATGATACACCAGTCCCACAGCCTTCCAGGAAGCAAATCAATCAGACCTTTGTAGAGGAACTGATACCAGTGACCGACAACAACACTCCGGCGACTACCGACTCTCGCAATGATTGCTCTAGCAAGAGTGCTGTCCGTTTGACCCATGCATCTCGACACCCGTACACACAAGGCCTCAACATCGTAACCATCGAGTTTCATTTCAAGGGCCGAGGACTCCGTCATTCTAGAAAGGAATGAACGGCTTGCTGAGGCTGAGATCTTGAGTGGGATGCCTTTGTCGCTTAGAGAGGTGACGTTTATGATGAGAGACGGGGCGTTGCTAATGAGGGTAGGAAGAAGAGCCCGAAAGAGTTGTATGGGATAGAGAGCGTCGGAGTTGATGTGTTTCCAGATAGACTTTTCATTTTCATCGAGGATCCGTCCAAGGTCTGTATGCTTGGCCTCTGCATTCGCACAGTTAACCAAGACTGTCAAGTTAAGCTTGGACAGCTCGTTCTTTATAGCCTCAAGGTCAAGTTTACGTTCTAGCTTCCAATCCCCGTAGCTCTTCCTATACCAGAACTCTTTGGTCCCAAGAACTGTCGGATCTGCGACGAGAATTTTGAAATTCCGGTCTGGGAACTCTTCATGCATCCGCATCATGGCATCTAGCAGATCCTGTTCCACCCGGCTATGGAGCACAACGTTGAATCCTTTCCTTGCGAACTCGCGCACGATCTCATATCCGATTCCACCAGAAGCTCCCGTTACTAGAGCCCATGCGGCCGACCCATCGGGGGAAACGTGGTTATAGCGGTGAAGTTTACTGCGGTGAAGGCAGTATGTGTAGAAAGAGAAGGACGCACAGAGAACCCATGTGACAAATCTTGCAGTGCCAACGAGGGCGAGGACGGTTATGATCTCCTTTTTGAATGCACGTAGGTAATGAAAGTAGTCGATTGTTGCGAGCTGCGCCAGGTTATCGGCTAGTAACTCAAAGGAATAATTAGGGAGGTTTTGGTAAAAGCTGGTGTTCATTTTGTCGCAGAGTTCGAGGGTTTGTTGATGTTTGGTCTAAGATGGTGGTGGAACATGGCGGCCCTATATATAGAACTTAACTACCTGAAGGGCAATGCGGGGCTTTGCCCTTCGATCGCGTATTAAACTTCACTGCGGATTGTGCGAGAACAAGGGAGAGTGAATTGCATGCGCGTAAGTTTGCCATCCCAGAGAGTGACGAATCTTCGCAGTGACTCGAGCTTACTACGAATGACTGTACAGCCTATTGAGAAGAGCAAAGAAGCCTCGAATATTCTTGCAGGTTCTGAAAGGTCTTGAACCCCGCGCCAAGTCAGGTGAGATAGGCAGCTGCAGCTTTATTAACAGGTGATGCCTCGAAAGATAGTGATCTGCCTGATGTACAAGGTTGTTGATACATATCTTGGCTAGTCGCTTCAGGCAGCAGTGACGTGTAGAAGAACAAAACTCACTTTTCCTTTGATTCAATTCGTTGTGATCAGTTTAAGCTTTGATACAGTAACTCAGCCTTTCTAGAGTCGAACTCTAAGTCTCTCTAGGAGCATGATTAACGGATCTCAGTGTCAGAATTGATATGGCTAGGGCTTATTAAATTGTATAACCCCTATGGAGGTAAATGAGGCGCAAGGTGTTATGTGTTAGAAGATCGATTTTAGGCAACATCATGAACTGCACTTAGGTAACCGAGAGCCTGATCTTGATGCCTAATTTACATTTGTCTTGGAAAGCTCCCCTAATACCTCGATATCAGGGTTATTCCGCCATATCAGTTCCGTCTTCAACCATGAGCACGAATGAAGGGTCCAATGGCAGAAGATCCAAGAAACCCCAAAACATATAGTCCGCACTGCCAGATATAGGGCTGGTAGTAGAATCCATGATATTTCCGGAGGGCACCAATACAGGTATTCCCTGGGCGTGATCAGAGTTCTGACGCTGGTCAACGTCTGCATGTGAGGACGGGTCTTCCACTCCACGATTAAACGGCCCATGTATATATCCTTCGACGGCATCAATGAGCCTCTGTATATGCAGTATTGCATTTGTGACAGGATCGCCAACCACCATTAGCTCAAGGCACTCTATCGCGAGCCCGACAATATCTCGATAATATGGATGTTTGGACGGATGACCCATTGATGCGTACAGAAGTATAGCGCAGCTTGTTTCGAGAAAGAAGGAATTGTATCGTCTCATCTGGATTTGGGCCTGTTAGCATTGCAAATCAAGCCAATCGACTTTTGGGTCCAGAGAAATATGAAGAGATGTAACCGTGCAAATCTTAGCTTATGGGTGCGGGCATTCTCAATCAAGACTATACTTACTCCTTTGGTATCTGAAGCTTTGAATATTTGATGAGTAATGATAATCGAGTCTTCAGCGGCGTCTGCAGCATATCTACACGCTTGTCGAAGCCAAATGGCATTGGCTCTTTCCAGCTGACCAGAAGCTCTGAGTGCCGACTCTGCAATAAGGAATGGTCGATAAACAGTATGAATGAAGTGGCAGTAAACTTATCATTTAGCTCAAGGTTTTCTCTTCGCGTAGCATGATCAAGGTACACACCGTTACAGACTAGAAGCCGTGCCATTTCATCCGCCCCTGATCCTTGGCATCGAAGAGGAGAAGGACCGAACCAGAGGTCTTCACAGACGCCCCAAACCTGCAGATGAAGTTTTCGAGTGTTTTCATACATCTGGGAAAGCGTGCAGTATTTCTGCCCGTTCGGACATGACGTTGCCTGTTCCTGGATGGCTGCCAGATTACAAAGATCAACGAGCATGGGTTGATTGTCTGGGTAATCGCAGGAGATATCTGACCGTCTAATGATTCCCTTTCTTCCAACGATGAAGCATATCCATCTGTAGAAAGTCAGAAGTTATCTAGTCAGACTAGTTTAATAACACTAACGTTTGTTGGAAATATGTAGCCCACAAGGTAGTCAAGCGTGTCTGCAAGTCCTCCCTTCCTACATCATCTTCAGCTCTAGCATGAAGACCCATGGCCATGGCTCTGGTGGAAGCCGAACATACTTGCAAGTACGCAGCATTTGGGCGTCCCATGTTGAGCTGATAATCTGACATCAGGAGACAGAACTGAACTATTGGTAATGTGGCGACATCGTCGAACAGGGCGACCTCCCGCTTAGCATGTATCAAGAGTGTCTCTGCGGTATCGGTTTCAGAGGTGCTAAGTGCGCCGATGGCGAGTACCATGAGTAGTAGAGCTTTGTCTTGTGACGTTGATGTGTCGTTAACCCTAACTTTGTAGAGATTATCCAATGACACTCGAGTTCTATCGAGGTTTATGAACGGTAAACCATGGGAAGAATATTTCTCAAAAGCTTGCAGGAATGTAATGGCGGTAGACCTTGGAAGAATGTCTTCCATTCGTTGCTGTAGGGGAAGTTAGAGCGGGTCGACTCTTGACGGCAGACCAAAGAAAATAGTTCTTTTAGTAAAGGCATCAAGACTTTGACCTTTATTTCTGGAGGTGTGTGTACGCCTATGAACCAGCTCATTATGTAGAGTCTGTAGAAATGCAAAGGTTGACGTCGGACCATAGACAAACTGTTCATGAATTCCAGGCTCGCCCCCGGTGTTGGAAGCGATAATAGCACCTGAATACACGCCATCGGTATGAGAATCTTCGGGAATTTCGGAGTTGGAGATCTCTGTTGATGCAGCCTTATGCCCTTTACGAGCTCTATTGCGTGGTTTGAGACGATAGATACACATGGCGGGTTTGTTCCGACATCCGCTGCAAACCGTTGCTCCATCGCACTTGATCTTCCGCCGGCGACACGGCTCGCATGCTTTCGGAATCATGGTTTGGTGAAGAAACCTCGGAGTTGAATGATGACGAAAACGAAGGAAGGTCATCAGTGAGAAGGATCTCATTGCAGCTGCATGCTTACGGCACGAGGACTTGGCCATGCGGCGTAAACCCGTAAGTCCGTAACTCCAACTCCGATCAGGGAATGGATCATCCGCCAATTGTGGGCATTCCAGGATTTCGGTAACAATGACGAACTATAAAGAAGCCATCACCTGCCAGATATTGGACACGCTGTCTGATTCATTCAAACCACTTCTAGTATCTGTATCAATTTACTTATCATGCTCATTCTCATCGCAGGCATCACCGGCATGGTCGGCCAGACCCTTGCTCGCTATGCATTGGAAGAAGGCTATCAAGTCCGCGGATTGAGCAGAAACCCTGATAAACTCAATGCCGATATTGCATCCAAACTTGAGAGTTTCATCGCTTGCCCTGACTTCCTTGATAAGTCCCACCTTGCGAAAGCCGTCAAGGGAGTTGATGTCGTTATCGCTGCTCTACCTCCAGTGCCCAGCATCATTGGAGCCGGCCAGCTGGCTCTCTTGCTGGAAGCTGAGAAAGCGGGCGTCAAGGTAAACCCTGCATCAACAAGCATTTTATCAACACTGATTATTTATTCAAGGTTTTCCATGCCGCGTCTTGGAACTTTGATTGGACTAAGCTCGAGCTCGGCGATCACGAGACATACGATGCTTATATCGCTTTCAAGCGTCTCGCCGAGCTCTCTGGCAGCTTGAAACCAATCTATGGCTTTACAGGTGCCATCTTGGATTATTCGCTCATTCATATCAAGGATGCAGGCCGACCCAGCCTGGTCAACGCCGAGACTCGAAGTGTTATTTACTTTGGTACGGGAGAGGAGAAGATGTCGTTCACTACTCTCGATGACTTGGCAAAGTACACATTGCTCTCTATAAATGATCAAGGTGTCATTAAGCGTGGTACTTACTACGTCGAGTCGTCTCATTGCACTATGCCTGAGCTCGCTGATATTTATAGCAAAGTGCGTGGCTATGAGATGAAGAAACAGTGCTTTGGGGGCAAGGCTGAACTCCAAGCAATGTTGCAACAGGCAAGGGAGAATATCGGCGCTTTTCAGGCGGATAAGTATATCGACTTGGCTTATGGGATGGTGTTCTTAAATGGCAAGGCTGCTATTGATCCTGTTGATAATGAGAGATGGGCTAGTAAGGTGACTCCTACTAGCATGGAGCAATGGCTCAAGGAACATCCGGAGGCCTAGATTCGAGATCGGAGTTGGCTATAAAGTAATGGTATTACTGTCCTTACAAACGGTTAGATAGTACCGCTAGTTCTACCAAAGAAATGAAATTGCTACTCAATAAGATAAACTCAAGAAAGTCTCATAGATGAACCATGTATTAGTGCTATGCTCTAGGAACATCCCTACACTAGCAAAACAACTAGCATCCAAAATGAACGTAGGGCATCCAGTCCGTATTTCCAAGATCTGGTTTATCTTCTTCCTCGCCTACCGTTGTGATGTCCCTAATGCCCTTGCTCTTGGCTCGTCCCTTATCTCTCAGTTGTCTCAGTGCTTGATGTAAGCCCTTGCACGCAGACATATCTGTCATTCCTTCATCACGCAGAGTCCCATAGAATACTTCGGCTACATCAACGCAATGCCTATCTGATACTTCCCATAGTGTTCCAATTACATGCCTAAATCCAGTCAAGTGGAACGCGCCAACGAGATGAATTCCTTCATCTGATAGCCTTGACTCCATATTTGTTCCGGTTCGGCAAGCGGAGAGGTATGCGAGAAATGGCTGAGTGCTTTCTAGATTCTTCCCGCGGATGTCCTGGACTGTGAGAGGGTTGTTCTTCCAGTCTTCAAGACACAAACAACTTTTAGAAGGTTCCGTCGGGGTTAAACGCCCATGCCCTGCAAAATGAAACACCTTGCAGGTCTTCAGGGATGAAAGCACTTCTTCCTTCAATGGTCTAGGTGTATCTGGTTTGAGGTAGAGCTTTGGACACATCTGCTTCACCATGTTGGCTTCGTCCTCAGCGAACGGTAACTTCCCACTGCCTGGTGTGTTGCGCATGGCAACAAGGAGTGCAGATTGTCTCTGTGATTTATAGGCAGAAGCAAGATCCCGCTTTCTCCCATGGAGCAATGACTTGATGTTCAAAGCATACGATGACATAGTCCTATCCAAGACTGTCTCTGTAGACCCTGTCGTGTAGCGCCCAGCAGCATGAATCGGCATACAGCTGAGGGCATCGGTCGGAATCCACCAGATATGGGGCCAGCTATCATCAAATACAGCAGATGTGAAACCAAGTGCATTCAAGCAAGGATGGCCGAGTGCCTCCCATAGCCATTCCAGTCGGGATGCAAGCTCAGATCTGGCTGACGGGAAGCTCGCCCATGCACGAAGCTTGCTTTGCGACAAATCAGGCAACTCAATCGTTCTAATTCCAGTACTCTCAATGATGAATGCATCACATCTGTAGAAGCTTACATTGACCACGATGATCGGATCCGGAGTAGCTGCTGCCATCAGTTCTGCCTCGATTGGTGGTAGCAGAAAACTCTCAAATCCTGATTTTCCTCGGACCTCTACAAGAAGCCTTTCGAATTTTTCGTCTGCTTTCCGAAATCTGTCTTGCTTCCGTTGCCAGGTTTCTAAGCCGTCTTTTTTAGTCGATACATCGATTCCACTTTGCAGCTGATCCATCTCATCTTGAAGATGATCAATCTCCTTCACCAATTCTGGGTACTCCGATGCGAGCTCCGAGGTATCTGTGCGAATGTCCATAACAAATCCTGAGATTAAACCTCTCCCCAGCTCCAAGAGGCGAAGGGCCTCATAAGGCCCTTTATTGGCACTAAGGGCGGCAGCGGCAGCCATAGATGTCAAACCAGATAGACTCGAAAGCAGGCTTTGCTTGTCTGTATGTGCCAGAAAGCGTGGGCTAACTTTCGGGAGGAGTAAAACCGCTTCGCGCAGTAGTGTACTAGCCTTATCCCACTCTTCTTGCTGTATGTATACGTAAGCAGCAGAACCAGCTGCGCGTATTCTCTGGGATGGCGATGCTGCTTTGGAGTTCCATCCCTCAAGGAACCAATAGATTTGGCTGTCCCGATCGCCAGCAGCTTTGGTGACCTCGAATCGCTTATCAAGCCAGTTGCCTAGATTATTTATCATGACTGAACGATCGGGATGATCTTTGGGAACTGCTTTCACTGCCTTGGTGATATTTTCGATACAGCGATCGAGATCATCCAGGGAATCCGTCTTGCTGAAGCGGCTACCAAACGCATTGCCCAGATTATTGAGGTAGGAGTAGACATCAGGGTGATCTTTCGGGGTCAGATCAACGGCCTTGTTACAAGCTTCGATAGCTCGGGCAATATCACTTTCTCTTTCAGCTTCCTCGTAGCGCGTGCGAAGTGATGATCCAAGGTTGTTGTAGTAGGCAGCGAGGCTATCGTGAGACACTAGAGGGCCTTGGATGGCTTCCCCAATCAATTCGATAGCACGATCAAGATTTTGGATTTCACCTGTTCTTTCGAAACGCAGGCTTAGCTTATTTGCCAAGCTACTCAGATACGTAGAATAATGAGGGTGAATCTTGGTTGCGATTTTGATGACCTCCTCTGCAGCATCAATAGCGTGTTCCAAATCTTGCATCGCTCCTGCTCTTTGAAAACGCGCCCTGAGTTGATTCCCAAGACTGTTCAGCCTGTTTGGTAGTTTTGGATGGCCGCGATGAGTGCTGACTACAGACTCGTGCGTTCTCTCAATGGCATGGTCCAGATCTGCGATCGAGCCCGTCCTTTCAAATCTCATACCGTGACAGATCCCCAGATTGTTCAAGGTAGATGCAAAATCCTGTGTATGGCTAGGCGTTACCTCTAGACATTGAGTGAAGATACTCAACGCTTCGTTTAGATCCTTAACTGAATCGGTTCTCTCGAATTTCTTGCTGAGGCTGGTTCCAAGGGTATCCAAGAACACAGAGTTGTCAGGGTGGCTCGGCGGCGTGATAGCTACTGCAAGACGTGCTGCTTCGATGGAATGATCCAGATCCATGAGTTCTCCCGATGCTTCAAACCGCGCACAAAGCCACACACCAAGGCTATTCAAGAAGCCGGGGTGTTTTTGTGATGTCGACTTTACCGCTCTTCTTGACGCCTCGATTGCACGGTCAATGTCGTCGATTGTGCTTGTTCGCTGGAACCGCTTGCCATGGCTGTTGGCAAGGTTGTTGAGATATCCAGCATAGTGCTGGTGACCCTCAGGCGTCAATACTACGGCTTTCTTTGCAGCCTCGACGGCATAGTCCAGATCTTCGACAATACCTGACCTTTCAAACCGAGTACTGAGCCAGAGTCCAAGATTGTTGAGACGGTCAGCAAGATCCAGGCTATCATCGGGGGTAAGACTTATAGCGATTCTTATCGCGTCAATAGCTCGGCTTAGGTCCTTTATCGCTTCAGTTCTCTGATATCGCTTGTGAAGCATAACACCAAGGTTGTTCTGCAACCTTGATGACTTGCTAAGATCTGTGACTGGTATCAAGTGTTCCACTATAGCGATTGCCAGATTCAAATCATCCATGATGTGGCTCTGCTCGAATCTCATCATCGATACGGCTGCTTGGTTCTTGAGGAGTGTCATTCGAAGATCAATATCATTGAGCATGGCGTCACGGCTGGATCTAGATACCAAGATGTTAGCAATCTTTTTGATCCGCATATATGTTATGAATGAACAGTAGAGTAACTTACGTCTCAGCGATTTGTCCAGCTTTCTGCTGGGAGTGGTGCAACATTACCAAAAACGCCTTGAGAATATCAAGCCACTCATTGAGAGCCCGTTTATCCGGAAGTGAAGCGACGATCTTTCTTTTAGTCAAAAAGATAGCCTCTTCTAAAGCATTGTCAGAGTTTGACATTTCGAACAAAAGACAGCTTGAATAGATGCGAATTCTCAAGTCCTCCTCACTGTCAGTGTCAGGTGAGTTTCCCTTCCATATGAGAGCACGCAGCTCAGCCTCATTCATGGCATGAAGTGAGGCAACGGATTCGGGGCTCAGTTTGAGGCATTCCATTGTGACTGAACTTATAGTAGGAAGATGAAAATGCTAAATTCGAGATAAGTTAATGAAGTCTTTGCACGGTTGCAACGAAATTGAAGGTAAGGGAAGCCAAGAGCCTTCTAGGGCATCAAGAATGCCTTGCCGCCTACTCCTGGTTTGTTTTTGCGAATCAGCATCGCTCTGGATACGCCACCAAGATCAAGAGACAAAACGTGCGGGAAATAGGCCCACCAGAGCTCCAGAGGATGAGGCGCCCATGCGTAAATCATCGGCAATCATCTGGATGATGCGAAACCTTGTCCGGCTGGTCCAATATGGTTTCCAAATATTTTAAATTACCACAAAGATTATTATCCCCATAAGCGATATTCAGAAAAAGCTGTACCGATGCCTCAGAGAGCAAGAAAACTCAAGGCTAGGAAAGAGGTTGCCAAAATAAGCTCAGCAAAGAGCCCCTGAACTTAGGCTAGGTTTACCTGAGTAATTTTATCGCTTAGGGTCAAGATCCCCTCGCCATACAGCGCTGCATTTCAGTGGGCCCTTCCCCGTGGCTGTGCAGTAAATGCACTGTCAGCATTATTGTTGATGACTCTTGGCCACTCATCAACTTGACAATCTCATACGAACTACATCAGCTCAATTTAGATCAATGAACCATGAAAGATCTGGAGTATCTACCGACCTGCTTTCCAGCAGAGATATGGCTTCATATCATCGAGCAATGCACGGCATCGCTTTCGCTCACCGAAATGCTGACATTATGCCGCGTCAGCAAAGCCTTCAACCTCATGACAATGGAGGCCATTCTCGAATCCGACATGCTGAATGATGTTGGATACTGGGACCCAGTGCGTAAACAAACCATATTCTACCACACGGTGGATAATGATCACCGTTCATCGTATCCACCTCTTCTAGAGAACGTATCCGACGACGGCGACACTAACTCTGAGCCTGAGCCTGAGACGCCAGATCTGGATAGGCCAGTGTCTCCATCACTTCCAGAAGGCAATCAAGAGCAATCTGAAGACGATACGTTCTCTGGGGAAGCGGTAATCACCTCCAGCTCATCAGTGGTCCCTAGCGACGATTTCTGGGTCATGTTCCTGACAGCCAGGACATTGGGCAGAATCAGGACAAAACCGCCAACCCAAGATCATGTTCTGTTGTTAAAAGTCTCAGAATATCTCTATCAACACATACAGCAAACATCTTCGCAGATAGAGTTGGAGGATACAGTACGCATCGTTTGTGAAGTAGCGGTCAAGCACGGATACATCTACTCTCATCCTGATTTCTACATCAAGAATGGGTCGTCAGCATTCGATGCGACAGCACTTAAGTTGAATGAATCTTGTGCAGTGTTTCGGGACGCCCTAGCAGCAATGGCTGTACATCTGAGCGATAAAACTCTCCTCGAAAATACACTTTCTAATGAGGATCTGGTCCTCTGTCCCTCGCACCTTAAGGCGCTGTCAACGGCAGATGGACAATTTACAGCAATTCCATCGTTCCAAACACCCATTCCTCAGGCTGGCCGCATAGAAGACGATGACTTTGGCTTCATGCCGCCAAAATGTGGAAAGTCTCTTATCAGGCTTGCAAACCCAGTCAAGCTTGCTGTTCAGTTGAACAAGATAGAATACATCCACCTCTTAGTGAAGAGTGTTTCCAACAGAGAACGCGAACTTGATGTGTATAGGAAGGACATAGTCACTGAAGTCATTCTTCCGGATCAGATCGAGTTTCTGCGCGTCGCGATTGAGTCGGGTTGGCCTCTGACGAGATACCGACTTCTAGCACCATCGATTGCGGATATGATATGGATGAACGGACGAACTGACCTTTCTTCAAGATCGCCTGCTGGTATCAGATTGAGCAAAATCCTAGAGACAACGATCGATCTTGACGTTTTCAATTTGGTTTACGATGCTATATTGGAAGGTTATAATGACAATGAAGGGGTCTGGTGGACCAAAGGATTGTCCTTTGCGGCAGACACACTGGCGTTTTGGGGCCTGAGAAGGCTTCAACGCGCTGTGTTGGACGATTGTCTGCCCATTGTTCGAAGACTCATAGAACTGGGCTATTCATTAGGTCCAACGAGAACTATTGAGGACTTGGAGGGTGAAGAGCAAAATGTCGTTGCCGAGATAATTAATGGCGAAAGGACGGTAGATGTAGCTCTGCCGGTTGCTGCCGGAAGAGGGAATCTGGAGATGGTGAAACTCTTAGTCATGGCTGGAGCGCATAGGAAACGCAAGAATGTTCGGAAAGCGATGAGAATTGCCATGGAACAGGGTAACCATGAGATGCTTGAGGTTTTGGCAAGTCAGGGATCCCCGGCGGGATTATTGAACCGAAAGGCAAAGCAACGCTGGAAGAAAGACTTGGAACATTCGGGGAAGCAGAATATGCTGAAATGGCTAGAGATGATGTGAGAAGGACGTTGGTTTACAGACTAATCCTTCAATCCTTCAAGTCAATCCAAATGAATTGTTATCAATTGATGCTGCTCTACCCCTCTTATCCACCGCCAAATTCAGCCTGTGACAGGCCTCCAAGGTTGCACGTGACGTGTTGGTCCATGTCTCGTATCACTTCCTGCTCACTCATTCTTTATTCTCAACCTGCCAAGAAACCCTCAATTGAAGAAAGACGCTGCATACAATTCAATTGAAAATGGCAGCTGCAGCAGAAGTCAAAGATCCTGAGGCTTTTCTCAAAGACCCCCGCTTCTCCCAAACCTTCCAACTTCCGGCCGATCCATCGGATGATCATGGCAGTCTCCAAGTGAAATACTCCGACTACGGCTATCACAACGCCACGGATGAGAATGTGCTACTCTTCTTTGCGCCGTTATGTGCGTCAAGAATTTTTCACTGCGCGAAAGATGAGTTGGCCAAGAAGTACCGTGTTCGCATCGTGGTTATGGACCGGCCGGGTTTTGGTGGGACAGATCCTGTCAAGTTGGAGAAGAGACCAGCCATGTGTCGAAGTAAGTCACCACTCACCAGGACGAAGCCAACGTGTAACTAATATTCGCAGAAATGACTCTGGCTCTGCTTAAACACCTTGGAATCAAGCACGTTTCTCTTGCTTGTCACAGCGGAGGAACCGTCTACGCTTTTGACATGCTCATGCATCACCCAGAGATCCTCCACCCAGAGCGGCCCTACCTCGCCATCGGAGCTCCCTGGATTCTCCCATCTCACTCACATCTTCTTTCCATGTCTGTGACCCAATCACTGCCCGCTAGCATGCTCGCCCAAGCAGACAAGTTAATCGGCTTCGTGAACGGCACTCTCGGTCCAGTTGTCGCGACATCCGCTGGCATGAGCCAAATGTTTGGATTATCCAAGAAGAAAAATGTAGAAGGAGGCGCTGAGGAGACCAAGGCCGATGCTCTGTTCGAGGAATCCTTGGAACCATTCTTATTCAAACTTGTGCACGCAGAAAGTATTCGTGGTTTTGGTGACGAGTCAGTTTTCTTGATGCAGAAGACAGATGGCGTACCAGGATGGGGCGACTGGCTTGACTATGACGATTTGGTGCCCAAGTTGGTGCAAGCACTGAAGGCAGCTGGCAAGAAATTGACCGTGGATGTCTACTACGCTGAGGAGGATTCTATGATTGGAGCGCCGGGAACGGATGGTCCGAAATGGCTGGACAGCTGTTTCAAGGGAGAAGAGGTTGAGCAAGTCATTACCTACAACACGAAGACCATCGAAGCAGCGGACCATGACACCATTTGGAGTATACGCCGAGGTGTTCCCGTTGATGTCTTCAAGAAATTGGCTGGATGATCTGCAAATTATATTCCTCTGTGAACTTTCTCGTACAGATAGACTATCTTCTCAATCGATCTGCCTTACAACTTTGCCGCAATGTTAACGTGCACAGCTTTGATATTCGAATAAGCCGCAAGACCAGCCTCTCCCAACTCCCTTCCAATACCACTCTGCTTAACTCCACCAAACGGAATCCTCCAGTCACTGTCATTACTTGAGTTAATCCAGACCATACCAGCTTCAATCCTCTTCGCTACCTGATGCGCCCTCGTCAAGTTGGTAGTAAATAAAGCACTTCCAAGACCATACTGAGTATCGTTGGCTAGGTCGATAGCTTCTTGTTCAGAGCTAAACTTGCTAACCACCACAAATGGTCCGAAAACCTCTTCTTGGAAAACCCGCATCTTGGGAGAAACGCCAGTGAAGACTGTAGGCTCGATAAAGTAACCCTTACCGTCGCCGACCTTCTTGAATGGCTGACCTCCGAGCTCAAGTTTGGCGCCTTCTTTCTTGCCGACTTCGACGAAAGAGAGAATACGGTCGTATTGAGCCTTTGTGACTTGAGGGCCTTGGAAGGTTTTCTCGTCAAAGGGATCACCAACCTTGGAGATGTTCCTGACTTGCGCTCTGAAAGCAGCCAGAAACTTATCATAGATACCATCTTGAACGAGAATACGACTTGTGGCAGTGCAAATTTGACCTTGGTTTGACATGATACCAGCATGGGCCCAATAAACAGCCAGATCGATATCTGCATCATCAAAGACGATGAGGGGACTCTTGCCGCCAGTCTCCAAAGTAATATTCTTCAGGTTACTACTAGCCATCTTCATGATGGTCTTGGCTGTTGGGGTGGAGCCAGTGAAGGCGATTTTGTCGACATCCATGTGAGAGGCAAGGGCTGCGCCAGCGACGGTTCCGAGGCCGTTGACGATGTTGACGACACCGGGGGGAAAGCCGGCTTTGACAACAAGGTTGGCGAAGTAGAGGATTGAGAGAGGTGTTTGCTCGGCGGGCTTGAGGACTACAGCGTTACCGCAGGCGAGGGCAGGGCCGAGCTTCCAAGCTGCCATAGCAAGGGGATAGTTCCATCTATCAAGTTGTTAGTCAAGAAGGCATCTAAGCTACTCATTAGATGCACTTACGGGATAATCTGTCCGCAGACACCAATAGGTTCACGGATAGTGTATCCAAACTTATCGCCAGTAGTCTCAATAACCTGTCCAAAGACCTTATCCGCAAAGCCAGCATAGTATCTTAACGTCTCGGCCACCTCAGTCATGTCCTCATTGAACGAGACAGAGTAGGGCTTTCCGTTATCCCATGTTTCAATCGTAGCGAGAATATCCCGGTTCTCCTCAACGAGCTCGGCAAGTCTGTTCATGAGCTTGCCGCGCTCTGTAGCTGGGAGATCACGCCAGGCGGGATTGCGAAGGGCGCGACGAGCGGCGCGGACGGCTTTGTCAACATCTTCGGCTGATGCGGCGTAGACGGAGGTGATTTCCTGCTCGTTTCTATTGCTGTCAGTGGTGGTTATCTTTGAAGTGGGTTCTTCGTCTTACGTTGGGTTTATTGAAGTGATTTTCTTGCCGCTTGAGGATGGAACAAATTCGTTGTTGATGAACAGACCAGTAGGCTGCTTGTAGGTTCGCCCATTGGGGGCAGTGAGTTGAACGTCTAGACTCATTTTGGATGTATGATGATTCGATTCTACAGAAGATATCTGGGGAAATCAGCTGAGGAGAAGCTATCCTTGTATACCTATAGTCATTCACCAACGTCACTCGATATCAGTGCCGTATAGCAACGGAGGCTATCAACGTGGGGTTCCGATTCCCAAGGTCAAAAAGTTGAAAAGTATTGCCCATTCTCGGTATAGTGTCCTCCGGGCCGGTGTGGATATCCGGGCGGGATACCCTGGACCGATAAGGAGATGTTTCTCGCTTCCGTATCGGGCAGTCGTTTTGCAAGCGATTTAAGCAGAATCGGGGTAAGGAAATACATTCAGCTACTGGAGTTGCAAGCGGTTGATCATTTGCCGTGCCATGGGACCCTTGATGCATGATCCAGGGGTGATATGACTGACATCTCGTATGATTTGCTCTGAAAAATGCAAATATGCTTCCTAAATCAACGTTTCCTGTCATTTGAGCTGGACTATACCGATTCTGGTATTAAGATAGACCAAAGATACAGTGCAATTAAATAGAACGGGTTTTCCCATGCGCAAGTGCCATATTTCATTGATTCTAAACTTCAACTACAACTACACGTATCCGTTCCATCCTCACACCAAGACTCTCAATGCCGGTCCTTCCAACCAATCAGGAAGCACTAGGCCCTCCGGTCTGAGAAGCCCGACGAGCTTCCGTATCCGTCTTGGTTCGGACATCGACATCGACATAGTTAGCCCGCTCCGCGCGCTGCGCATAGATGATGTTTCCCTGCGCCTCCTCGGTCTCCAGATAAGTGATACGTCCCTTGACGACCCAGAACACGAGCGTGATGACAAGCATGATGCCGAACACAGCAATGGCGTAGTTCATGTCTGAAACCGATGGGTTCGGTGCGCCCGGGAAAAAGAAGAAAACGGTGGTGACGGCACAGTAGATGACGCTGACCCAGTTGATGACTGAACCAAATCGACCGAGGGAGAATTCTCCCGGTGGGAGCTTGTCTCGGCCGACGAGGAGGAGACAAAGAATGGGCATGCCGTAGGATACCGTGAGCGCGATTGTGCTGACGCTTAGAATAGCTTCCAAGACTGTTGAGGCGAAAGTGTAGAGAACTCCGATGAGAGCCATGACACCGCCCTGAAGCCAAAGTGCACGAACAGGAACCCTCCAGAAATCGTCGACCTTTGCAAAGTAGCCACTCCAAGGAAGACCGCCGTCTCGAGCAAAACCCCAAGTCAAACGCGAAGCGGTCGTAACGATTCCAATACCCTGTCCGATACCGTTCACAATGAACAGTGTCAGAAGGACAGTTCCGCCCTGAAGACCGACAGTCTGCTTGAGGAGATCCATGAAAGCAAGTCCGGTCGTAGGATCAGTGACGATGCTCATATCCACGATACAGAAGAGACAGACGACCATGAAGATGAAACCAGTGATGGCGCCGATAGTAACCGAGAGCCAGATAACGCGGGGGATGTTCTTTCGCGGTGAGGGAATTTCTTCGACCAAGTGGATAGCAGCATCGAAGGCCGTAAGACCGTAGGCAGCTTGGATAAGGCCCAAGAACCAGGTAACACCATCGGGCCAGCCAGTCTGGTTAATCCACTGTCCAAAGACGAAGCTGGCAGGCTGGTAATGAAGGTTATCCTTGGTTCCGACGGAGATAAGCATGGCCAAGCTGATGATGAAGAAGAGACTGGCGAAGGAAACACCAACGAAGTTGTTGAACCAGGGAAGAACGATGTCCTTTCGACAGGCCACGACGTTGAATAGAGTCATAGCTAGAGTGACACCGACGTAGACGAGGAATAGAACCCATCCCTTATCCGCACCAGCCCAGTCCGGCTGGAAGAGAACCTTCATCTTGAGCATAAACTCGCCCATGAAAGCAATCTGCGACGCGGACAAAGTGATCCAGCCGGTCATGTTAATCCACGCACAAAGATACGAGCAGAACCGTCCAGCCTTTGTCGGCCACAATCGAGAGATCCAGTACGCCTGACCGAGTGCCGTGGGCATACTACTACACATCTCACCCAGCGACACGGCAACGCAGATATTGCAGACAAACACGAGAACCAGGCCCCAGAGGATGGCGATTGGGCCTCCGCTGGTCAAGCCGCTGTCGATGCCCTGCGCGAACGTGGACCACGTACCCAGGACCGAGAAGGCCAGAGCGAACATGCTCCACATGCTGAATTTTCGCGTGAGACTCTGGTCATGGCCAAAGTTTGCGAGATCTTCTGCATCGCGGATGGCTTCGTTGGTGGTATCTGAGCGCTTGAGCGCAGAGTTTGTCTCGACGTCGTTGGTCATGGCCGCGTCTGACAATGACCTCGTCGAGAGAAAGAATAAATGACGTAAAAGGGTAGAAAAGGGGAGAGGGGGGGAAAGGCGACGGGCAGCCTTAGCGAGAATGCGATGTGACTCAGAGAGAGATCAATTGCAATGTGTTGTATGAAATGGGAAGTAAAAAAGCAAATGCGCGTGGCAAGCTTATATCCAATTTGCTTACGGGGAACGGACCAGCGTCTTTTTGGTAAGGAGACTTTTTTGACATTACGAAGGCCACACACACACACAGGACAGAATTGGAATTGGTAGGTGCTTGGTATCAAGGTACTAAACTAAGGTTATCGTGTGACAAGTCAGGGTCGCTCTACGGGCAATGATAGTACTGTATGGAGTACAGAGATTGTGGTGGTGGTGGCTGATTGTAGGGATGCTTCAGCACTGAACGAAAAACCTGGCAGAGGCCAAAAAAGCGCGCATTGGGGTTAGTAGCACAGAGATAAGGCTCTTTTTGGGGAGGGGGGGGCACTGTTATCTCGAGCCCCAGTCATACTGCCCTACTAACGCCCTTTCAGCGACGACGGCGTCTGCCAAATACCTGTGAGTTGAGCCCAGTGATGCAAACAGGACAACGCCGTCGACATTCTGACAGGACAACCCGGGAAGTTAGCGATCGTTCCAATGGCTTGGCCAGGCAGGCGGTTTGCGGGGAAACGCGACGGTACCCCATGGGGAACAGCGATGCATCGCATCAGGAGAGAGGACGACGAGATTTCCATTACGTGATGAATTGCATCGTCTTGTGCAACGACTTCCCCGTGGGGAATAACGCGTTGCTTTTTCGACCGGGCCGGTAACAGCCCAAGAGAAACGTAATCAAGGGGGATGAAGAAGGGGCATCACCTGTTCTGTTCGGTTATCTCGGGGGAGACGACATTCTTATCGGCCGCAGGGCAAAACTGCAAAACGTTACCTGTAAGCGGTTTAGCGCAGGGCATGGGTGCAAAGCTGAGAATCAGATGCTGAAAGCGGTTAGAAGTCTAGATGAGGGGGAGCATTTGATCGCTGGGGTCAGATGATTGAGCCTCGTGTTTTGCTCTGCAGTCTCCCCAACCGTTTACTGCTAGATAGCAGACAGATACAGTAATTTGTGGACCCGTAAGAAAACGTTCACTGTTATGCCCGTTTCGAGGAGATCAGAGAGTTTTTGGGGCGGCGCGTCGAACTGCCGGAGATGGCTTGGCATGACAGAGAGCGATAGCTGTTCCCCAGGATCAAGAGAATGCAATTCTGTAGCAGTTTTCGGTAGAGATACCCTTGTCGGAATCTAGATCTCGCTTTTGTTTCCACTGCAGCTGCAACTGTAGTCAGCAGCTTTGCTTCTGTAGGTAATGTCTTACACCACCCAAAGCAAAGGGTCTCAGCGGATTCCCGCTCGCTCAGTGGAGATGCAGCGGAGCGGTGTCTGCCAGAACAATCGGGGCGGGCGCCACACGGTGGATGCCATGGATGCCGTGTCTCTTGTAATCCGCCTTGCTTTTCTTTCCTTTTTCTTTTCTTGTTCTTTTCTCTATAAGAAGCTCTGTATCCTCTTAACAATATCTTCTTTTTCCTTTTCTCTCTATAGTAAACTACCAACTAAACTACAGCTCTTGTTCAACCTTGTCCCCTCCAGGTCAACACCTTGGACACTTATACAGTTACTTGATCATCCACCGTATGGCACAGTCGCTCAGCCCAGACAACGTTCATCATGATTGCAGACACCTCATCCATCGCCGGCTACACCATCTTTCGGGAAGAGCCCAACGACGCCGCTCCCGACCTCTCAAATTCTCAACATTTACATCCTCTCGGTATGTCTTCCCCTCTCAATTGAGCTCCCAGTCGCAACCCCACCTAACAATTGCAGATCCGCTATCGATTGATGAGATCCGCGCTGCCGCAAAGATCATCCGTGATTATGCCAAGCCCAAGTCTCTAAAGTTCAACTGTCTCACTCTCCGTGAGCCTCTCAAGGCAGAATATGCTGCTTTCCGCGCCCGAACTGGTCCCCGACCTTCTCGTCGCGCTTTCGCCATCGTCATAGAAAAGGGCAATGGTCAAGTCTCCGAGGTCGTCGCCAACATCGCCGACGGCAAGGTCGAGCTCTGGAAGGACGTCTCTGAGGTCGGTCCTACTCTGACTCTCGAGGACCTTGACGTCTGCGAGCGCGTTGCTCGCGCCGACCCTCGTGTCATCCAGGCCTGCAAGGACGTTGGCATCGACGACATGTCCAAGATCTACATCGATGCTTGGGCGATTGGCGTTGATCAGCGTTGGGGCTACGAGCGCCGTCTCCAGCAGGGTCTGGTGTATTACCGCGCTTCGCCCAACGATAACCAGTATGCGCACCCGCTCGACTTCTCCGTCGTGGTCGATACTGAGAAGGAGGAGGTCCTCACTGTTGACATCCGCTACGTAAACGGTGAGCGAACAAAGGTTCCTCTCACCTCGCACAACTACATGCCCGAGTTTATCGGCGAGAACTACATTGATGGCACTCTCAAGCCCATCAACATCACCCAGCCCCAGGGCGTTTCTTTCCGCATGCGAGGAAATGAGATTTCTTGGGCTGGCTATAAGATGCACATCGGATTCAACTACCGTGAAGGTATTGTTCTGTCTGATGTTCGCATGGAGGATCAGCATGAGCACCGTGAGCGGACTCTCTTCAACCGTATCAGTGTCGTCGAGATGGTCGTTCCCTACGGTAACCCCGACCCCCCTCACCACAAGAAGCACGCTTTCGACGTCGGTGAGTATGGCACTGGTCTCATGACCAACTCTCTGAAGCTGGGATGTGATTGCAAGGGCGCCATCCACTACCTCGATGCCGTCATGGCGACTGGCGAGGGTGATCCTGCTGTCATCAAGAACGCCATCTGCATTCACGAGGAAGACAACGGTCTTTTGTATAAGCACACCGATTACCGTGACGGCACCGTCATCTCCGCCCGTGATCGCAAGCTCATCATCTCTCAAATCATCACCGCCGCCAACTACGAGTACGGCTTCTACCATACCTTCACTCTCGATGGTACCTACAAGCTTGAGATCAAGCTGACCGGCATGCTCAACACCTACTGCATGCACCCCAGCGAGACAGCCGCCCCCTACGGAACCGAAGTCGCGCCCACCATCAACGCTCACAACCACCAGCACATCTTCTCCCTCCGAGTTGACCCCGAGATCGACGGGCCCAACAACTCCATCGTTCAGAACGATGCTCTACCCTCAGAGGCGGAGGTTGGATCTCCCGAGAACCCCTACGGCAACGGTTTCTACTGCAAGAACACTCCTCTCCGAACAGCCAAGGAGGCTGCTGTGAACTACTGCCACGAGACAAGTCGATCATGGGCCATCACCAACCCCAACAGCATCAACCCATCAGCCAAGAAGCCCGTCGCTTACAAGATCCTCAACAACAACTGCCCCGGTCTCCTCGCCAAGCCCGGTAGTGTCGTGTACAACCGCGCTGCCTTTGCTCGCAAGAGTCTCTGGGTTACTCCTTACAAGGACTACGAGATCTTCCCCGCTGGTGACTACGTCTGCCAGTCCACCGGTGTCGAGAACCATCCTCACAACAGCACCATTCTCGACTGGGTCGCCCGTGATGAGCCTATTGAGAACACTGATATCGTTTGCTATATCCAGTTTGGTCTCACTCACTTCCCCCGCACTGAGGACTTCCCCGTGATGCCCGCTGAGCCAGTCAGCGTCATGCTTCGCGCCTCAAATTTCTACCAGAAGAACCCTGGTCTCTGGGTTCCCCCTTCGGCTCTCTGCGTCGATGCTGCATCCAAGGATGCTTTCGGTAAGAAGGAGGAGGAGGCTCCCTCTTCTTGCTGCGCTACCAAGACGATTCCTCGTCTTTAGATGGATGATGTAATGATTGGGGTAGTGTAAAGTTAAAATTGGACGAGTGTTTAGCATTTTGGCATATCGTGGGTTTTTGCATGGTTACATAGCAGGTTAAACATCAAGAATGAATGAATTACTCTCTCAAATATGTCTCTGTCTGTGAAGTCTTTCTTTGTACATCTTCTACTCTGCCTTTGGTCTTCCAGTGCGCGTCTATGACTTCAAGACATGGAGACAAAATGAACCCAAACCTACTAAACCCGCCACGGCAAGAAGCGACAAGCTGACTCGTGACAGCTCAATGGGCTTGTTAGTGCTGATATTTCGATACTCCAAATCTTTCCATGCCACAAAGACACTTCGCAACCAGAACTTGAACTGCCAATCCGGGAACATGATTGTGTTCCTATTCGTTTTCTCATCTATAAACCACGATGTGCACCCTGTAGCCCAAACAAGGCGCTTAGCTTTCTCTTGGACATTGTCTATATCCTTCTTCTCAGCTTCGGGAGTGACCTCAACAGTGTCTGCTTTTCCGGTGAGAATCGGTCTGAGAACTCTCATTGTGTAGTTGATCTGGCATTCTGTGGTGTAGATAACTGACAGATGACCACTTAGAGTGTTTGGGCCCATCATGATGAAGAAATTGGGGAATTCCGAAAGGCATGTTCCGAAGTAGGATGACGCCGCACCTTCACTGACTTGATTCCACTGTCCACTGTAAGTAAGTTGTAGACCACAATTTATGAGAAGCGGTGGAGAGAATACTTACATGCTCGTTAATGCTGACCCCGTCCTTTCCGAATATCCTTATGGGGAATAGTGGCTTCTGAGTCTCAAAGCCATGCGCAAGTATAATGGCATCGGCAGTTACCAACCTTCCAGAAGATGTCCGCACGCCTTTCGCTTCAATTTTCTGGATCGGATCGTTATATACAAGCTCAACGTTATCCCGATGTAAACAAGCAAGGTAATCCGTGTCATTGACCCTTCGCTTGCAGCCAACCTCAGTCTTTGGGACCAAAAAGTCCAGATACTTGGCCGGTGCCGTCCTCCGGATATAGTCAGTAGTATCTCTGGCCCATTGGTTCCTCACCTGAAGGCCTTCGGCAACTCTGAAGCCTGCAAAGTCTCGTTCCTTCAGGTAGTATAGCCATGCACGATACAATCGCATCGCAAGGGGGAACCATCTCATGGTCCATTTAAAAGTGGTCGAGTAGGTTGGGTTGGGACGTTCTGCAAGCCAATGGGCTTGTCTTGCGAACTGTGTTGCCTTCTTCACTGCACCATCTCCCGAGCTTATGACAGGGAGAATCTGAGTTGCACTGCAACCGTTTCCTATTCCAATCAGTAACTGATGCAGGTGTATTCTGGGGCAAACCCACCAACAATGACTACATCTTTGTCTCTCCAGTCAAATGAATGATCCCATTTAGCCGTATGAAATATTCGCCCTTCAAATTCCGAAGTACCCGGAATGTCACATTCTTTAGGAATGGATAGGGCACCGACAGCCGAGATGACGATCTTGGAACGAACAGTCGTCACTTCCGATGTTTTGACATCTCGAATGGTTGTTTTCCAAGTTCCAGTAGTCTCGTCCCAGCGGGCAGACTCAACGGCTGAGTTGAACCTAACGTGTCTCTTAATATCGTATTTCTTGGCAACGTCATTGAAGTAGGTTTGGATCTCAGGTTGCATAGCATATGCTTGGGACCAGTTGGGGTTGAGGGCGAAGGAGTATGAGTAGAAATGAGATGGAACCTGTAAGAGAGGTCAGACGGAGTCCTTCTGCGCTGTTTGATACATACATCGCATCCACAGCCCGGGTAACTATTGACTCGCCACGTTCCGGCCATTGCAGAGTCTTTTTCGATGATCTCGAAGTTTCTGGTGCCAAATTTTCGGATCAACTGGACACCGAGACCTATACCTGACATCCCAGCACCGATGATGAGGACGTCTGTTTGATTCATCTTGATATTCACCGAAGGAAATGCAAAACGAATGCAGCGGTTTTTGATAATCCAATGGCAGGATAGCAATGTTAAAGGAAGGATTCAGGCCTGGGCATTGGGATTCATGGATATATAATTTTATTGCGGCCTGATAAGCACAATTACATACGCCGATCGAAATCACCGCGTCTTGTAATGCATCCATTCCCGTTCTTCGCTTTCACAGCCGCAGTCCTTCCGTTGACGACATCATCACAACCCAAAACGGTAATCAAGGCGAAATATGGGTATCAAGCCACTTACGAGCCAAAAACACGGACAACAAGCCGACCTCGACGATTCCTCGACATTCGGTACATTAGGCAACGATAAAATTACATAAACAAGTAGACAACAAGCGGGGGTCGTATTTGCGTGGGGTTTATGTAGCTGCACCTCGCTGTAAGGAATTAAAGTGGCGTGCAACTAGAAGAGGGGAAGGCATATTGACTGGTTGAGCCAAGGACAACACAGACATCAGGGTCATTTGACTATCGTCGGTTACCTAAATAAGTAACCCGCATATGCATTGCGGACTGGTGTGTGGCACTTTCACGAGTGCAGCTCATGATAGCACGCTTGATGCATTGCGGAGCTACTATGCGAGATATGATCCGAGGTAAAGGCTGGCTCTCGATGTTCCAGAAACTAACTAAAATGGTTACAAAGTTGAACCCCAGATTGACTTGTCACCAAGCCATTCCCAAATACTCTTGTCCGCCTCCTCAGTGTTACTAATAGAAACTCCCTTCGACTGACCACTCGTATCAGGTCCAGGATCATTGAACAACTGCACACAACGAGTGTTGTTCTTCCCAACCTCAAGTACCGTTCCACCAGGATATTTGTCACTCTCCACACAGAGAAGCATGGCCTCGGCAACTTCTTGAGGTGTAACCCACTCATCCTGGCCCTCATCCACGTACTTCAGCTTCTCAGGATGTTCAGTCCACAGCGGAGTGCGCACTAAACCAGGTGCAACGGCATTGACACGAACGCCAATCTTCTCAACTTCTGCAAGACATCGCACAAAGCCCGTGATGCCGAACTTGCTCGCTCCATACATGGGACTTCTGAGTGCGGGGCATTGAGCTGCGATGGAAGAAATATGGATCACACGTTTGGGGTTCTCAGGTGACACATTCTTGGGGGAGCCGTGAAGCCATTGTGAGATGGCAAGTTGTGTAGCACGAATAGGATGCGTGAGATTGATGTCCAGTAGCTTATAATGATCACCGTCAAGAGGGTCTTTAGATTCTGCGGAGCCTGGAGGATGCCAGAAGTTGGAAAAATGAGGCTCGTAGACACCAGCACCAGGACAAACGATGTCAAAGTCGCCAAACTCTTTGACAGCAGTTTTGAATGCATTAGCTAGATCTTTCCAGGATGTAACGTCTGTTTTGACAAAGACTGCTCGAGGAGAGAAGTCTTTGTACTTTGAGACTAGAGTTTCGGCCTCTGGTCTCAGGGAAAGGTCGGCTATGACGACGTTGCAGTTTTTTCCGAGCAAGATCTGAGCAAATTCGTAGTTGATCCCTATAAAAGTTAGCATCATATGATGCTAGATTACTGACAAGACATACCTGATCCAGCGCCTGTGACGATGGCGGTCTTGCCCGAAACGGAGAATGGGGCTGATTGAGAAGACATGATGCTAGAATAGAGAACAGCTGTTTTAGTATGTCAAATAAGAAGGTACACTCTGTACTGTTTATTCCAGCAAAGATAGAAGCCATTCAGCTCAATAAATAACCCAAACAACTTCATATACAAGTCGGCTCCGCTAATCGGGTCCGCTTATCAACCGGGGTATCAAACTGCCGAGACGTCACCCATTACCCCACATTCTCGTCCCTCCTCGCCTTGATATCCTCTTCTGTCAACGTTCTCCAGGTCTTCGGCTTAGTCTCCGCATACAACTCAATCCAACAGTGGCAACCCCCATCGGATCAAGCACCTTGTTCATAAAACACCGCTCGGCTCGATCACCCAAATGCTTTCCATCAATTTCTCTCTTTGACGACAATGCGGTCTTTTTCAGGCTGGTAAGTTCCCCCCTCATCCTGTTGAAATGAGGTACTGATGGCGAGCAAGCCAAACTTGCAGAAGCAGAAAGCTCAAATGTGATGAAGCAAAGCCAGTTTGTGGAGCATGCAGTAGAAGTTCAAGAACTTGCAGTTATTCCAAGAGATCGGTGTTTCGGCCTTTCCAAAGTTGTGCTAGAAAGAGGAGTCGAAGCGAGGTTGTTGGAGATTTTGATGCGATCCATAACAGTGACGTTTTTGAGGCGGATCATGTCTGGGTTGATGTTCCGGACGAACGTAAGTGCTTGGTCTACCGTGCATCTCTAAGAGCTGACATAGATTTGTCAAGTTCACTTCGTCCATGTTGAAGATCCTTACGCGGAGCAGGATAGCATAAGGATTGACTATCCTGATGAAACAAGAGAGACATCTTATACTGCCGAAGCAGAGCAGGTTTCTGAATCTCCTGGGACAGAATTAGACCTGTGGGCCGACGATTCTCTTGTCGTTGGAGGGCAAGCATATGCTCCGGACGCCGAGTCAGAAGCTCCAACTCCTAGCGAACATGCAGATCGCTCAAGGCTGGCAACACTTCATCTTCTAAAGCATTACAAAGAAGGGCCAGGCATCTGGTGAGTCGTCCTCTCCAATTATATCAGGACCTCTAACAATATCAGGTTCGACATCTTTGACACTGGCTGTTACTTCTCAGGCAAAGTCCCTGTCAAGGCAGCAACTAGTCCCTTGCTCAAGTCATCCATGTGTGCGATCGCAGCTAAGCACTTATATCGGGTGAACAAGAGTCGCCCTGATTCAATGATCGATTCTAGATGGCAAGGATACGACTGGCGCTATGAATCTGCAAAACACTACGACGAAGCTATTCACCATCTGAAGAATGCAGTTGACCTTTGTACGTACGAGAATAACTTGAGCGATAAAGAGGATATGCTTGCTGCAGTTGCTATCCTCTGTATCTACGAACTAATGGATGCGCCTGGGACAGCTTGGCGAGCTCATCTGAGTGCTTTGCCTTTGTTTAATCCAGCGGAGGATGCTTCACATTCTGCTTCACCAGTGGTGATACCGCGCACGGCTATTCAGGGTCCTATTCTTTGGAGCTTAGCCCGTCAAGATCTTCTGTGCGCTTGTAAGTGTCAACCGCCTCATCCAATTATCCATCTTACTGACTTTCTCAGTCATTAGCGAAACGCAGACTCGTCTTGATCTCAAAGACGTGCGTCTTTGGCAGAATGCAGGTCTTGCAACCACAGAAGATGGAACCCTCATGCCCTTCAGTCCGCCATGCTCAGCAGATATTCGCACCGTAGCTGATATCGAGGAAGACACCAAGAGTAATGAGCTAACTTGGCTCATTGGCAAGCTCTCAAATCACCTCACCTCGGGCGACGCAATAAATCCCTCGGACTACGCCCTCCCTCTCGGTCAGCGCCCAACCATTGGTGTCACACAAGAACGCCTCCTGGAACGCTGGAAGATGCTACTGAAAGAATTCAAGAAATGGCACAGCAGTCTCCCCTCAACATTCAAACCCTATGCCCGAACACCATATCCCTCCGCAGATTCCTGTTTCAGCAGTTTCACCCAGATATGGTACGAACTCCCTATCTGCGCCGCAACAATGCAAAACTACCATATGGCCATGATCCTCCTCCTCGTAAACCAGCCACAAGAATCAACGTTTATTCGTTCCACTGTGTCGGCGCGATTAAAGTCTTATCGGCAGATCCAACAAGAGGTACATCATTACGCAAGAGAGATTTGTGGTGTAAGCCTAGCGGAGCCCTCGGATCCTGTGAGGGCGAATTCGGTGCAGGCATTGTTCGTGGCGGGGCAGGTGTTTTATGAGAAAGACGAGCAGGATGCGGTTCTGAAGCTTTTGGATGATATTGAGAAGGATTTGGGATGGACTACCAGGTTTCATCGGGCAAAGCTTGTAGATGAGTGGCCTAAGGATAGCTGATACCATGAATCCCTGATGATTTTCAGTTCTGACGTGAGGTTAGCGAAGACGCGATGTCGCGTTGAGCAAATGACGGACCGAAACTCTAGGCCGAGATTACAAAGTTACATAGTCAATCATGCAATCGCCCGTGATGCTACCGCAGCGAGCATCAATTCCGCGATGATCTTCGCCTTGATTGCCATTTAATCGAGAGACGGCTCCAAATACTCGATTCTATTGGGTACTCGGCTTGTTATCCATTTACGGCACGTTGCATCAGCGCTATAAATGCCAAACTCAAAATTGAGATACCGCTGCGAGCGCTGCAAGGTGACGAATTGTGGTTAGATTGAGGGACACGCAGCCGCGGCTCACAGTCCGGTAGCTCCGAGTGTCACTTTGACAGCTCTATAAATACTGACGACTCACTTCAAATGGTACATTGACTTTGATATCTTCATCAAACGATATAAATAATGGCTACTTCGACTTTTGGACCTCGTCTGGCTGGTAAAGTCTGCATTGTGACAGGCTCTTCATCAGGCTTGGGCCGAGCAATTGCACTGGCTTACTCTCATGAGGGGGCGCACCTCGTCTGCGCTGATCTCCAGCCGGCTGCACGTGCGAGTGTGAATGGAGAGGAGGAAGTCAACACAGATGAGCTGATCAGATCAAATGGCGGCCAGGCTATCTTCGTTGAGACGGATGTCACCAAAACCGCTGCCGTGGAGCAATTGGTATCTAGAGCTGTCATTCAGTTCGGTCGCATCGACGTGTAAGTAAATGGCTCTTGGACTCCGCTGAGAATAGACGCTCACTCTGCACAGGCTGGTCAACAACGCTGGTATCTCTGTCGAAGCAGGCAAAGAGCCTCGTCGGGTACACGAAACTCCAGAGGACTGGTGGGATTTGACCCTGGCTGTCAACCTCAAGTCCATCTTTCTCGTCAGCAAATATGTCATTGCTCAGATGCTGAAGCAAGACAAATC